TTCGTTAGAGAAACAAAAAATTGGAAGATGCAGATGGTCGGGTAGGGATGAAACTTGACTATCAGACTTCTCTTTAAGCTCTTTTTTTTCCTGATTTCGCAGTATAAATCGCACATTTGCGATGCACACATACACACATACACACACACACACACGCACACACGAACACACATGTATTACACACCGGAGTCAAGCTAATTTACAAAAAGAATTTCCGCTAGCCGTTTGGTCAAAAGTCAAAACACCCTCCGTATTTACTTCAATCCGAAAGTGGGGCAGTCGGAAATTGCAAATGCCCGCTGGCAAAACTATCGATGGCCATCCTTCCTCGATAAGAATTAGCAAGTACCAAAACCAATTTACCAGTGAAACGGATGAACGAAACGTTGAGGGACTGGTTATATTATTAGTTAAGTCGAAGCACTGACTTTCAGCTAGTTACTGCAATGCCAGATTCATTAATAAGTAAAAATAAATTTTCCAATTGTAACTGACCACTGACCGCTGGGTAAGGCTGAAGTGCTCGATCAATAAGTCGTTGTACAACAGCATTTGTATCATCTCCGTTCAGTGTTGTCAGGTCGATGTATGGTATAAGATTCAACAAATCGCGCTTCTAAAAGAAAACTTTTTTTTTTTTTTACATAAAAGACTCCTTCTAAACAGGGTTTTCAATATCCCAGGGACAATGGTTTTTTGAAAATTTCGGTGCTCCTGTGATGTAATCGCTTATCGCCGATAAGTTGTCGAAAGTACTAGGTGTAATTTTTTCTTTGTAAACGATGCTTGCTTTGAGTTTCGAATAGTTCACTTCCTAAGCCAACATCTCTCTCTCTCTCTCTGGTCTTCCCCTCCGTTACCCAATTCTACCGAAATACGCCATCCAAGGGTACACATACCACAACTATCGTAATTTGCCCTGAACTTGGCTAAGTCGAGGCAGAATTTTACTAATTGCTCAAAATAATGAAACTTTTAAAACTGCTCTCACGCTAAAACTTACATCGTCCAATAACGACTGAGCTCGCTTCATGACATTATTGATCACTTCATTCACCTTGTTCGAATCGACATAATACTTCTCCGATATCACTTTGTTGAACTCTTCCTCATCCAGCTCATTCTCCGGCATCGTTTACGAATAATGCAATGTAGTGTCGACAGTCAGTGAAAAAAAAAAACGAAATTCTGAAAAAAAAACCTTAAAATACTGGATGATGAGACAAAATTCAACAAATATATAGTTCTCGACGAAAAGATAGAAGCTGAAATTTAGGTCATGACTGAAGAACAAAGGTTAATGATTGATGCTGGAGAAAAAAAAAATCATTTAGGAAGGCCCACAAGCCCTACACTTACTACGGTACTTTGATTTAACATGCTGCCATACAGTACTGAAATGAACAATATTTGACACGAATAATCAATGACCAATAAGTGCCTTCCACTAGATCCCATCCTGCAAAATGGGTGTGCA